TAGTAGCGTCCTTGCTCCTAGTAGTAAGGCCAGGAGCCCCTAGTAGCTTCTTTGCTCCTAGTAGCTTCGTGTTACTAATAGAAAGGCCAGGAGCTACTAGTAGCTTCCTTGCTCCTAGTAGCGATGCCCTTTGTTTGTTACTAGTAGCTTGTAGTCACTGTAAACATGAAGATAGAAACAAACCCGCTATGTCCAAAAGCGTGACCGTACCTTGATCATTCAGCCCTAGCTTCTCTAATCTCTCCTCAGAGCACCTCCTCCTGGCGTGACAAAAGGAGGATCCAGTGCTTTCTCAAGGCTGCTCTAGCACAAAAGATTGTGCGGAGCACTGTGCAAAGCCGCTTTCTTGCATGTGTTGCATTTCAAGGCATCAAAACAACCAGAACGGCTCGACATCTCGCGAGGCTCGTGTGAAGTCGTGTCCTGACTCGCATCAAGTCCTTCTTTAGGCTCCGGCCTTACTACTAGGAACAAGAAGCTACGTTCGGGGCTCCGGGCATCGCTACTAGGAACAAGGACGCTACGTTCGGGGCTCCGGCTCTCTTCTCGAATCTCAGACAGCTCTGCCTCCTGCGTCGAGAAATTCCAGGCTAGGGCGCTAAGGGTCGGCGCTAAGGCAGCAAGCCTTTCCAACCGTGGGCCTTTGCTACGATTGGGTCAATCTTATTTTGTGTTTTTGCGTTTCCATGTCGCACTCCATACACTAGTCGTCAGAAACAAGAAGCTACTAGTAACAAAGGGCATCGCAACTAGTAACAAGAGCATCGCTATTAATAACAAGAAACTACTAGGAGCAAAGGGCATCGCTACTAGGAGCAAGGACGCTACTAGGGGCTCCTGGCATCGCCACTCGGAGCATTCTTACTACTAGTAACAAGAAACTACGAGTACTAGCAAGAACAATCCATCTCACTCCATCTCCTTCTGCTCCAACAGCTGTCGCAGACGCGTCTCGCTCTTCTTAACCTCTGTCAGCTCATTCCCCAAGTCGCCCAGCCTGGTGATTTCACAAAAACAGCGAGATTTCGCTTGTTGCACTAAAAAAACACTACTAGGGGCTCCTGGCCGTACTACTAGGAGCAAGAAGCTACTAGTTACCCAGTAGTTCGCCACGCTTCGCCCTGGGATGCCTGGTCAATAAGCTTCCTTTCCAGTCATCCACCAAACCCTGCCATTCATCCATGCTAGCCGCTGCTCGATCACGCACACCCAAATAGTCTCGTTGGAGATCTGGGCCTCACTGACACGAAGTGGACGTCGGACGTCTCCGTCACTAGGCCCTCTTAGGCTCCCACCACCGGACGTCACCAAGTCTAGCTCTTGGAAAAGGTTTTGCAGAAACTTCTCAAGCACATCGAAGACATGCCTCACGCGAGCACGAAGCGACAGGTTCCCATCAAGAGATTCTCCAAACACGCCGGCGTGGCTGGTGTTCAGAGGGTCGCAATTTGAAGCCAAAGCTTCTGTGGGCACCCACGGCTGGCAACGTCACGTCCAAATTTAGCATGGTGAACAGGTGCCTCAGGAAAATCTCTCACATCCCACCCGCAATGTCACCGCCGAATCTTTAAGGCGGGATGTAAAATGAAAGCAACATGCAACCACAACCAATGCAACGGGAGGCCATCGCGTCTAAGTTGGAGGCCATTGCTATTAGAAGTTCAAAGGCATGGTGTGTTTTATTTCAACAAAGCTACTTGTCCAGCATTGGCAAATCTAGGTCATCGAAACCAGTCGCCATCCCAGCTTCGGCCAACGGCATGGTGGAACTGAAGAAAGGATTTTTCGTGTTCCAATTCAACAATATCGGGGTCCCCCTCATTCTAAGAATGCGACCAACGCAGTGTAAAAAGGGCGTTTGTTTTCAACAAATTGATAATGCCAGGTGCCAGGAGCTACTAGTAGCTTCCTTGCTCCTGTGTCAGCCCTGGATGACTGGTAGATCTGTTAGTTCGACCAGTGCGTTCCCCAACTGCAGCATGTTGCAGCTGGTAAAAGCTGCGCTGAAACAAAACCAAAACCAATGAGACCGTCATGAAACAAATGGTGGCAACAAGACCTACCGACGTAACAAACCTTGACCGATTGCAATCCTCCGCAGTGCACCATCGTTTAACACCGGGTGGGTTCGAGTCTCGCAAGGCCACGTAACGACCTTCAAACGGATTGCATGTCAATCACAAAACCGTTCAGTTGGGACTTATTCATCATCAATATGCCAATATGTTGTGTGATAAATTCAACAGGCGTGGCCGATGCTTGTGGACAATTTATTGGTCGATGTTTTCAAACGGACCCCAACATAGTGCCAAACCTCGACAAAACCGCATCAAATGGACAGAGTGCTGAACTGTATGCACAACACATAGATTGCAGCACGCATCCCTGGTGCTACTTGTGTCACACGAATGTTTTCAAAACAAATTCATTCGTATTCAGGCCTACCCAGCCCCCCGAACCTTCCAAACATAGGAATTGCGCACCGAGATCAAGCGCCTCAAATTTCAACTGTCAAGTTGGAGGAGAACACACAACCAAAAAAACTAGAGGCGGATGGTCGGAGCGTTTAGGTGTATAGTAGCTCTTGTGTAAATGTTTGCGTTGCGATGAAAAAATATTTACAAAAAAATTGTGAGCTGGTGAGAGAGAGAGAGAGAGAGAAACAAAGGGTGAATAAAGGTGAGATGAAACGGCTGTTCGAAGGGAAGCAAAGATGTCTGCCATTCGTTCATGCAGGTTTGCATGTGTTCTTGCAGTGTTTCAGGTCCTGCCCAAAAAAAACATTGTGCAGGATTGCACGTTTTTGCAGCAGGTCCTGCAGAGATTCACCCACATTTCGGTTCACTTACAGCTTTCGTAAGCCGATCGGAAGGTGGTCAAGCGACGCCGCCTGTGGAGGTATTTGACACAATGGGCCCCCAGTTTCTTATGTTTGTAGACACCCCTTCAAAACACCACATGATGAAAAATCAACAATCAGTTCGCTTGTCATGATCAAGCTCATCCAACACCTGGCCAGAAGAAAGCGCGCAGATCCAATTTGTTCTAGAGATACTCAATGTTCTAGTACATGTGTAAGCCCAAAAAGCTGCACTCCGACTCTCGTCTGCTCTCTTTTCACTGCCAGTCGCTTTTCGAGTTTGATGGGATGATATTTTACCATCCTCTCTGTGCTTGCGGTTGGGATGATGTTTACCATCCTCTTGAGCGTGTGGTTGTGATCCACTTCGTCTTGGATCGCAATCCTGATCCTCTGGATCTGTTAGGCAGCGCCCTGTTTTGGACCCACACGCTCCGGCGGTAAAGTGATATGAACAGATACTACATTTGAGTAGGTTCACAAAGTCTAACACGCCGCCTCAAAATTGCGACGTTTCGGAGTCGAATCTTGCTCCAACAAGGATCGCATCATCTATGCGACACAGGTCAAGGCCCCTTGTTGCCTTTGCAATGTACCCTTTGTACATGCTGTTCCGGTACTTTCAGTACGATTTCTACAAAAGGTTTCATGAATTCTAAACCGCAAAATGCTTCGTAGTGTCCAGAAATGACGTGTATCGATGTAAGGTTGGTTCAGCTGGTGCAACCTTACACCGAATCAAACATTCCACCAACATTGTAGGCTGCTGGTTCAGATGTGTCAGCAAGCCTACCTACCACATGCATTGAAACTGTAAATTCAACCAACGTCCAACATTCAATGTCCTGTTGACCCGCTTGGACCAAGCTGGCCCCATACCTCTCTGATGCATGTCTCAATCTCGCCAACGTAACACTCATGCAAGCTGTGACTGAACCCGGTCAGGTCGCGCCTGCCCAATCTCGAGAAATACCGCAAGGATGCTTTTGTTCGTCAGGACTAAGTGACCTTCGGTTGCCGTCAGATTTCCGCTGGCTCGGATCTCATGCCTGCGACAACTGCAAACTACTCGCACTTGTTGATCTCTCTTGCACTTCTATTTCGGTAATCCAGGAGCTTACGTTCTCTAGCTGTGTACGACTCCAACACATTTGGCTCCCTAGGGCACTACACACCATCCACGTCAAAGCCTTTATGGACTGCGCGGTACTGCGAGAAATCGCAGTCCCGCCGATGTTTCTTTTTTGCACGGGTGGAGACGCCATGTGTGCAGAGGTTGCACAGGTCATCTTATGCTAGTGAAGTGAGAGTTACTAGCCAGATTGAGGTGCAGAAAACACCAAACAAAACAAGCAAACCAAAACAAAACCACCAACCCAAACAGCCCGAAAAACCAACCCCAAACGAAAAACCGCAAACTGGTATGTAGCTCAAGCGGCTGCGTCGACCAAAAGAGGAGAAGGTGAAACAGGGGCAATGAATTCAGCACCGGCTCTCAGTTCATCTTGACCGCAAGGTAGTGTTGAGTTGCTTTCTTTATTGAGGTCTCACATCTTTCCTGGTTCTTCCTTGCAGACAGCGAAGCGTCCTGAGTCAGGACGCTGTGGACGAAATTGCATTTGGAGAGCATTGTAAGCCACCTTTACGGTCATGCATTCACGGGCGCCAAGCGACTTGCAAGACATGTAGGGATGTTCGCTCGCCTGAATTGACAAGGCCCCAGGGAAAACCACTGCGAAATGCTTCCGAGAGCTTCAAACTGTCGGGAACAGGTCAGCAGTGCAGCCGAAATCAATGTAGTTGCGAAGCAAGGCACTCCCTACGACAGCTGTCAACTCCTCCCCAAAGGGGAGGAGGACCATGATGCCACTTCCAAGACTTGCAGCGATGACTCCTGAACAGCTTTGCCACGGGAGGTCACAGAAAGGCAAGTACGCCATCAGGCTCGAGGGGGAGCCTAGATGATCATTGGGAGCCGCTTGGCTTGCGTTGACTTGTGCTCGATGCTAAGAGTCATATGTCTGTTGAATGCCTGTACCATGCAGTGCCCCTCTACAAGAGTGAAACAAGGTGAAACGTCGTTACCCTACGTCTGGTGTCCCAAGTAAAACTGTACACTTTGTACTCATCCAGGACCGACACTGAGGCGCCAGCCTGGGAGCTGTCTATCTAGGTTGTTGTGCTGTACAGGGGTGACAGCAACAGCGAAGGATGTCGCCTACAGGACCGACACTGAGGTGCCAGCCTGAGACGGGCAAGCGAGTCATTAGCGCAGGTTCCTGCGTAGCTCATCATCAAATTCTTCGGCATTGAAAGTCTTACTTTTTTTTTCATTGATTAGGCGGTAGGAGGTTGATCTATCCTGGCATTTGCAACTTGTCACACAGTTCGAAGGTGTCTCTTTCAACATAGGGTCCTCTCCATGTGGCTTTGTCTTCCATTTTGATGAGCCGACTGAGCTGTGCACACCCAAAGAAGGCTCGGTGAGCAATGTAGATTAGGGCGGGCGGGGTGCGCACCTCTTGCAGCGAGGAACAAAGCAGAAAGGCTTCTTTGCCTATGCGTCGTAACCTTCGAGGGAAGCATATTTGCTCCAAGTGCGAACAGTGCGAAAAAGTCGATCCCCATATGGTAGTAATATCAGTACCAAAGAGATCAACTCTCTGCAACCTCTTGCAGTTTTCACATGCAATAGGTCCTACGAAGTTGAAGTCTGCTGGTAATTCTAAGTGCTCGATGCCTGATCCACAGAAGCTTCCCTCCGGTATATATCGCGTGCAGGGCCTCTGTCTGCTCGAAACTGACCTGCCGGAGTGCAGTTGTCAAGGCCAGATGTCAAGTCCAGGTTTTGTCGGCGCAGCTTCTGGTAAGGGGGCGCGCGGGCAGGCAGATCCTTGGATGGACTATCGGGTTAGGAACGCTCGGCAGGTTGGGGCGCAACAGGTTGGACAGGCGTATGCGGTTCCAGTACCACCTTCGCCAGGAAGTAGCGCGCACAGCGGAACACCTGCACATGCACCGCATATGCAAGCACACATGCCAGTTCAGCAGCCTTTAGGTTACGGAAACGGAAATGGAAGAAACAGTGTGACTGTTGGTCCTTTGTTGCAAGTACAGCAGTTGTTGCAGTCTTTAAACGCCAGGGAACTGCAGTCGGTTTTTCAGTTAACACAAAGACAGTTGCAGTCAGGGTCAGGCCAGTTTGTGCCTGAGAGACTTGGACAGGCTCAAGAAGAAACCTTTGCTTCCGGGTTTGTGCCCGATGAACGTCGGTTACAGCTTCCTGGTCCTGGTATGGTGCACGGGGGACGAGGGTCAAACGAAAAGGACGTTTTTAGCAAAACGGAAAAGTGGTTAGGTCAGCCCCGGTTCCAAACCATGGGTCTTGGAAACATAGAGAAGATGAAGTGTTGGGATGGCAACAGTACTTGGTTGAACTCGTGGCTTGGTGCAGCCAAGGCAGTCCGGTGTTCAGTCGGGAAGTCGAGCAGGCTAGTCGGTGGAGTGCCCCAATTGCTTGGCGGTCCTTGAGCAGTGACCAACAGAGTAGAGCTATTCGATTGTTTGCAATCCTGAAAGCGGCTTTTGCGGGTCATGGTAGGATCTCATTGTTGATAGCAGGGTTCCAAGAGGGCATTGATGTCAGTTGGGATGTTGCTAGCATGGATGCTTTTGGGAATAGAGCCACCTACATGGCCTTGTTCTAAGGTTCCTGGGTTTCCTGGCAACCTGCTGGACGCATCTCGACTCTACCCAAAGGCGACGACATACACCTGGCGCCTGGATCTTACTGAGCGCTATCGGAGCAGCGCTCCGCTACCATGTGAAAAGTAGCGAGCCTTACCCTTACCGGATCCGCACCGGACAAGCAACCTTTTCGCGCCAACGCGCACGAACACAAAAGTATGTGTTGCTAGTTTGTGTCTTTAGCTTGCTATGCACTGCACTGCTTCTAGCT